CTGTTAATAAAAATCGAATATAAGGACGCACGCTTAGTAATGCTTCCTGCAAATGCAATAAACCCACAAGCCAAATAGCCTTGCATATCCTTAGAGTCTTTTCTTTTCTCCTATCGAGTAAGTCTTGCTGAATACAATTGAGTACTCAGGGTTTTATTCCCCCTGTTGCAGGTGACAGGTGGATGCTTGAGCTAACTTTGTGTGTGGGTACCTCCTGGTGGGCTCAGCGAGGATTCCTTTACGCTACGATAGTAGTCTTTATTTACAACTCTCACCAAATGCTTTTATAAATGAAAGTTTCATAATCTATTGTCATAGTTTATATATCAATACTTTATCATATCATGATTAGCTATTTATTTCCGTTGTTATTCTGATCACATGTTTATATTCCGCTGTTATATTAATTTGTTCATAACTCTAATAATATGATTACATTCCGCTGTTATAATAATAAATGTTATACTCTGATGTATATGTAAAGTGATGTAAGAAATGGTTAAGAATGATGTAAGCTTTATTCTCTCATTTGTGATTCCTGGTGGCAAAAATGTGGATTTTCGGGTTCTCCCCTGGGGTGTGCCCGACAGAACCGAGTAATTTAGTGTTCTCCCCTGAGTGCTTAGTATCTAATAGAAGACGAGCACTCTTAGGAGGCATTAGATTAGACGGTTCTGCTACAGGTGGTATCAGAGCGCAAATGAGGAAATAAGGCTTCGAAAACCTTTTCTAAACTAAAATTTGACAACAAATTCTTTTCAAAAAGTTAGGATGTTTGTATGCAAAGTTATATAAGTAAGCCCTATTACCATGGTTATGTATCCAGGATAGATGGCACTCTGCTGACTTAGATAGGATTAATCAAGTTTCTGTAGGTACACTGACTCGAGCATAGTCCGATAGTATCGACTAGCTACAGGGAGAGAACGATGTGCCAAAAATCTAAGAACGGTTGCCCTATATGTTGGCAATAGTGAAAGGACGTATAGGACGTGCATCCATGCATATCCCGTTTGTGCATTATAGCGCTCGTATTGCTTGCAGATACGTCCTCCACAGGTGTCACGCGTGACGTATTATGAACGACTGATGCGTTCCTATTCTAGAGTAGGTCTGTACCGTGGCGTCGTGCTCCGCGTTCGCCGTGGTTCACGTCGGTCGTGACCCACGTCTCCCCGTACCCCTTTTCTGTGCTCTTGTCGAACCCTTGCCCTGCAGTCGTACCAGTCAGTAATGGCATCGCACGTCGCTCGCCTTGAATGCGTGGAATTTGGTCGATTCATTCGTAGTGATCCCGCGTGGGAACCCTGGTGGACCACGCCAGGACCACTGAACGCTCCGCCTTTATAAGTAGAGCCTGGCTTAGCTATTGGTATCACCACTTGGTGCACTTTAGCTCGCTTAGCTTTTCCTTTGAGCCAGCTTTTTGCTCAGCCTTCCTCACCACCACCGCCAGCAATGGTAGGATCCTTGGTTAGTAGTTACTGCCTAAACATTGAGGGTTTTCCTAGAATCCTGCATGCCACCCTGCGAAAGCTCGGAGTCAAAGATCGTCCCGAGTATGAGGGCCATGAGTATGAGGAGCATGGCACCGAGCGGTGTGAGGTTACCGTCTACATCAGGAAGAGTGAAGAGTTCCCCGACCTCACTGAAGCCTGGAGTGTGACCGCAACTGGGTTTCGCTTCGTCGACACCTACCAGGTTGTGGCCCGCAAAGCCTTGTGGTACCTCTGCCAGATCTATGAGGAGCCCATTGCCCATACCCCCATGAGATTCTTTCCACCTTTGGACAAGAATCGGCGGGCATGGAGGGCTCGCATGGAGGCTTTGCAAGGGCGAGATGTGCAAGAGGACAGTCCAACCGTGGTGTACTTGACCACGTACTTGCTTGCTCTGGATGAGCAGTACGACCGGCAAGCCTTGGAACTGAGGAGCTGTCTCCATCGCGCCGAGGAAGCTGAGGTCATGAACCGGATGCTCCAGTTGCAGCTCACCGAAGCGCATGCCAGTGCTGCAGCTGTTGAGAGCCGGGAGACTGCTATGTCGGAAGCTCTAAAGGAGGCTAAAGACCAGCATGTTCATCAGCTGCGGGTGGCCTATCTTGTCACCAGGGCCGAGCGAAGGATGCTGGTTGCTGAAAGGCAGGATGCCCCGATCTTGGAAGGAATCCCTATCCACCCACCAGCACCTCCCCCGTCGGAAGTGTCAGATGTAGAACCCTTGATTCCTCTCACTCAGCCATTACCACGAGAAGATGTAGATTAGTTGCCTTGGGATGTTGTACCTATAGTAGTAGTATTTGTCATCACTGTCCTCCGGTATTGTACTCTCACCGTTGTTTTCGTCCGTAGTTGTTGAGATCGTCCGACCATAGGCGAATGCTGTGTCGTGAATGGGAGCCTGAATGCTTGTGCGTTGTACCCGTATGAGATCGTTGGAACATGCATTTTAATTATTTCGCTATGTTTATTGCGTTCGTCTACTTAAGTTCCGTTAGCCGTGCTTAAAGTTTTCAAGGGCTATGTTAAGTGAGTTACAAGAGAAGTTGCCATTCAGATACCAACAGATCAGCCGTGATTGGATGATTTTGGACACTGTATCGACAAATTGTGGATGTTCCAATAGGACACTTGAATCTTTGTAAATCAAATCCACCGTTGGATTTGAATTCATTGTCCCTTGTTGTTTGAATTTTCACTTGCAATACTCCCCTTATTCTATGGTCTATGACCCCACCGCCTTCATGGTGTGTTAGTTGGTAATAGTTGCTTGGTTAAAAGCTTATGGTGCCGCGATGACACCGAGGGCTCCTTGTGGAACAGCTGCCACATGTGATGCTGCTCGGCACGCGCTGGTATCGAGGTTGTTAACCAAGTACCTTTACCAAGTTACACCACCGTACCTTTTGTTTTAAAAATAATTTCCTTGGAAATGTTTAGGTGTTCAAACGGGAAATCCACAACGGGTTGATAAACTAGTGTTCTCTCAAAGAAAGCAAGAGAACATGGTTTTGGAGGAAGAAAGTATGACATGGTCTCAGTCTACATGAAAGACGGATGTGGTCGAGTAAAGGAAAGAAAAAGAAGAGTAGTAAGGAAAGTTATCCGAGGGTAGTCGGGTGTGATTGTAAAAGCCTGAATGGACGTCATGTCCCAAGCCCTGTTTTTAGTTGACCGCGCTACACATGCTGGGACATTTCGCTGCGTGCCCTGCAAACGTTGTCTGTATTGGGCCTTTAGCACCCCGTTTTCACGTGGCCGCGGCATCGTGCTGCACTCGCCGTCTTTGTGCACTGTGCGCTTTTGCTTTTCTCTGACATACGGTCGGCTCTCGACCTCTCACGCCTCGTCCCCGTACCGGACCCTCCCTTCCCCTCCCTCTTTTCTTCTTTTGTGAACATGGTCACTCGCACGCCTGCCTCGTCGAGTGGACCCCTCCCCCTCTCCTCTCCTTTATTTCCCCCTCTGCTGCTTGCGCAGGAAGCGCACTATGTCTCCGACCTTATCTCCACAGCATGCACCGCCTGTGTATCCCATCCCCGCCGCATCCGCTTCCGGTGTGCTGTGCCCCACCTCCGTTCGCCTATATAAGATACCCTTGGTCCTTGCTCTTTTTCTCCATCCCCATTCCACTCGCCTTCGGAGCAGAGCTACAAAATCCGGTCGACATTGTGAAGCTAGGTTCGTCAGTCTGAGGTGATGGTGTAATCTAAGGAGAAGAAAGGATCTGGTTCATCGAAGAAGTTCAAGTCTACCGTTGGTTGGTTCGGTCTTAGGATTCACGATGTTTTACTTCTCAGTCGACTGTTTCTGGATCTATTGGTGCTACACCATATTTTGGATACTCATTATCTTTTTATTTCTCCATTGTCCTCGTCTATCTCGACTTCTGGATTAAGTCTCGGTTGGAGTAGGTTGCTCTTAACCATGTATCTCTAGATCTCCGCGTGGTTTAGTATTCGAAGTCATACAATCTTTCGTGTAATCCTAGATCTACGAAATGTAATCGTGTTTTCCCTCTTCTGGTTCTTGCTTCGAATCTCGGGACGAGATTCTTTTTAAGGGAGGTTGGTTGTAACACCGCTGGTGTTACGATCTTGTTTAGCACTGCGATTTAGGCCTATGAAAAATTTCCGAATCAAGTTTTCTCAGGTTTTGATTTAAAACGTACTTGAGGCGATAAGTGAATCCTGTGTGACGTAGTTTCGCGGACTCAAATAAACGTCCAGGTTAAATATCAGCGCGTAAAAATATTTAGGAATGTGGAACGATAATCCTGGCAAATAAATAGCGAACGGTTTGTTCTATTAGATTAAGCAGGAAAAACAACTTTTATAAATAAAATAAAATCCATTAATAAATAGAACGATATGCGTATATAGCGTTTGAATTAAATTTAAATTCGAGCTTTGCTGAAATTTTTCTGTGCCTAGACATTACAATTTGTGTAAATTAGTAAACCGTTATATATATATATGCGAGCTAAGGTCAGGTGGCAGCGAGACCGTCATTATGCAGCGAAGTTGTGTTTAGGGCCTGTTTAGATCTCTTCCCATTTGGAAAATGGATACTGTAGCACTTTCGTTTGTATTTGACAAAAATTATCCAATTATGGACTATTTAGGCTTAAAAGATTCGTCTCGTCAATTACGGGCAAACTGTGCAATTAGTTATTCTTTTTACCTACATTTAATGCTCCATGCATATGTCGCAAGATTTGATGTGACGGGAAATCTTGGAAAATTTTAGATTTTAGGTGAGATCTAAACAGGGCCTTACTCCATCCAGAACAGGACCATCTCGTCAATCAAGCTATTTCCTAGCTGAAACGAGCTCCATGTTGATTGGACGTGTTGTTGACTGCTCTTCTCGTTACTGTTCACGTCCAGACGCCTCTGCTGCCCTGTCCATGTTTGTCTCTGATTTGATCTTTCGAGCTGAGCAACCGAGCCTGAGCCAGCACGTGTGTTTCAGCCGTACAGTCACGACGCGTAGACAAGGTTAGGCCAAGGTCATTTTGCTGTTGTTGTCTATGTGTCGAGCACCCGACGTGTCCACAGTGCCAGCGTCGGTACGATGTGTACCACCGACGCTATCCCCTTCTTTTTTATATTGCTGCTGCCGGGTACTACTCCCCTTGCCTCTGTCTGTTTCCCCTCCCTTGCAGTGCAAATCTCCTCCGCTCCGCGCTCGGAGTTGCCAGCGCCGAGCTTCTCCACCACTAGGCCGTGGCTGCGTCCAGCCTTGGCCCCGCCCTTCCGAACAACTCGCCGGGGCCGCGCTCGCAGTCGCCACGCCTCGCGCAACCGGCGCCCCTTTCCGCTTCCTCTCCCACGCCACGCCCGCGCACGCGGCACCCTGGTTCCGCTGCTCCTCGGCCCGTGCGGATCTTGCTGCCGCAGCGCGGGTGCGACCGCCCTGGCCGCGCCCGAGCCGCAGCATCCCGCGCGTCCCGCACCGGAGCTCCCTCTCGTTCCCCTCTGTCTTGGTCCACCGCCGTGGCCAGGCGTGCCCGTGTCCCGCGGCTCTCTCTCCAGCGCGCGTGCTCGCCCGAGCCGTGAAGCACCTCCCCGCTCCTCGGCGCGCCGTGCCGCAGCGCCCCGCCATGGCTGCCCACCGGTGCCGGCTCTCCCCGCGCGCTTGAGTTCCTTGCCACGCGCCAGAGTCGCTGCCGCAGCACCTGGCCTCTTTTCCCGCGCCGCTCGACCACGCTGTCGTTGCCGCCTTGAGCTCCAGCCCCCCAGCCGCAGCGCCTCGCCGGTGTCCGCGCCCCTCCCCGCGTGACCGCGCGCGAGCGCCGCTGCACCTGGTCGCCCCGCTGACGTCCGTGCGCAGCTCCGCATCATCCTCGCCGCGCCATCCCGGGGAGCCCTTCTGCCTGCGCGCGCCCCTTGGCCCCGCGCTATCCCGCCGTTCCAGCGCAGAGCGCCCGAGCCGCCGCGGCTACTGCTGCCCGGTCATCCTCTGCTTTTGGGGAAAGAGAGACATGGTGAGCAAGGGTATAAATCCAAGTTGGATTATTATACAGGGTTCTTAATGCTAAATACGCGACCTTAGTGAATAGTGCTGATCTATCTCGGCGGGATTTGTTAGAAATGCAGGGTCGTTTTTGCATAAACACACGTGGGCCAGCTTGCTTAGGCCGCTCGCGCCGCATCTGGGCCGCCTGCGAGCCACGCTGGGCCGGTTTGTGTCGCCGCGCTGGGCCGCGCGCAGCTGGTTGCCACCTGGGCCGCCGATCAGTCGTGCATGTGGGCCGGCCTGCTCACTGCGCGCCCTGTCCCCGCGCCTGCTGTGGGCCGTTTTGGTGATAGCTGGTCTCTTTTGTTTTTCTAAAGCACTTGGTAATTTAGTTTGGGAAGTAAACTTGTAAAATAAATATAAAATAGCATAGGAATCCAAAAATGGTGAAACCAGTTTTGTTAGTCTCCTAAAATCACGATCTACCTATTAGTATAGTTTGTTCATATAGTGTGATAATATGCTTGGAAGCTATATAATTAATTTAAGGTACTTAATATTATAAATATAAACTTGTAGGAATTTCCATGATAAATTAGTAATATTGTTGAATCTAAAATTTATACAGTAGGCTCCTAGCTATAACAGGCTATAACAGGTACTCACTATAATTTTTGTAGCTCCAAAATAATTAGTTGCTAGATAGACAATGGTGTCT